ATATGGATTTATTTAAATAAGATCTTAACTCTGATGGAAACCAGTAGTTTGGAAGTGTTACGTGCTTTCCATTCACACAGATCATAGCAGATGAGTTCAAAACAGTTATTAATTATTAGCCTAATTAATATTATATATGTCTGTAAGATGCTGCTATGGTTGCAGAGAGAACTATCATACACTTCCTAAATTTATCTTATATCTGCACCAGATATAAACCATGGTGGCTCAGTTTTTCTAGTGTAATGGGCTATACTGGAAGGGTTAAAGGCCAAGTTGGATAGAGCTTTGAGCAACCTCATCTACTGAAAGATGTCCCTGCTCATTGCAAGGGGGTTGGACTAGATGATCTTTAAAGGTTCCAACCCAAACTATTCTACGATTCTGTGATACCTCACTCTGGACAAGTGTGAGCAGCTGTTCCCAATTCTACCTCTTCAGATATGCAGAAATGCATCAGACAACATATTTGCATCCCAACAGGTTTAGGATATACAGTAGTGGTAGCTTCTTGAGGCACCACAAACGAGTGCATTGGAGGAATAGCTTCTTTCCTAACACTGGCTGGATTTTTCCTGCAGTAGTACCCTGATGCATTATACAGCACTGTATGTTCCAGCTTTATTCTGGTACCGGTCATGCTGTTCTTTCACTTCTAATCAAGGAAAGGTGAGAAAACAGAATGAAACACACTATAAAGAAACACATAGTAGGGCAAGAACAAGGGCATAAACTGATATTAATACCTTTAGAACAGGTATGTAACTTTGAAAATGTAGGAAAAGATGATGTAGACAAAGCTATAGAGGGAACAAAGATAAGGAGGAAGCTCCCTATTTTTGCTTAAAAAAAATATGTTTTACAAATCCAAATATAAAAATAACAGATGCCAAAATCCTTGCTCTCAGGCATTCACCACACTAAATCAAATGCTGGTATGCAATTTCAGGGATTCAAATATATCTGTTATTTCTGACTCACCTAATCGTTTTATTTTTTATGAGGAATGGGCTTTTTCAAAGGAAGTTTGCTTAAAAAAGAACTTGAGAATAGCTCTTTGAATAACAGCAGAAATATAAAATCTTGTTTCTAAACCCCAATTTACAAAACCTGGGAAAACAAGGAGTTTTTTTAATAAAGTGTTGCTAAAACTGGGCCTTAATGCTGAAATCCATGCAAAGGAAGCAGATTACTTACAAAGACCCATAAATGACATTTTTTCTCATCTCAGATTGTACCTATTTTGTGTTCTTTTCAAAAAGCTCTACAGAGACCATGGAGTTGGACAGAAAGAGAGAGATTAATTTTGTCCCAACAAACCTCATAATAAGCAGAAAGTTTTTGACATCTCTTGATGTTTTCAGGAGAATCCCAAAATAACTGATAGGTTTCTACTAGCCCAGATTTCAAAATTTGCATAAAAAGAGAAGGGAGGCTCATGGAGAACAAGGTGAATAAGAAAAATATTTGAAATGGAAAGCTGTTAAACTGCATTTCAACTAAACTGATAAAGTAACTGCAATTATTGATAATGAGGGGTATATTGTGCTGAAAATGCTGCACCACTGGCTGCAGATGTTACCATTCCTGTTAATTTAGAAAACACATTTCAGACTGAACATAATGAATGACCTTTCTGTGTATGAAGTGTTGTCAGGATCTGTTTGAAGCTGACTGAACAGCTTGAGGGACTTGTAGTTTTACTAAACATTTCTGATGGTATGGACAGATCAGTTAGGAGTATGTTCAAGGGTCCTTCCTAACTTCTAGAGCTGACCCAACACAGGCCTCTACTCAAAATGTAGTTGAATAGGCAAAACTGTGCAAGTATCAGTAAAGTTGCTTCTGTTATGGGAAGTTATTGTACAAAACATGCCTTTGCGAGCGTGACTGCATCCCCATAGAAACATCTTCTCATTACAATATGTCACAGGATTTCCTATGTCATCAGGCAGGTCCAACTTGGGATTCAGTCTTCCCTCAGTGCTGGTGAATAATGTTACATTAGCCTAATTGATTGTAACCATGTTCTATCAATACCAAACTGGAAAAGGATAATGAAGAATCAGGTCCTGTATTTTACAGAAATGATAGTTTAAAGCATCCTAAGATAATGCTTCATTAGAATCATATAAAACATGTATTTCTCTTCTACAACGTTGTAAAACCCATAGAAAGCTTTTCTTTCCACTCTTCCATCTTTTCCACCTAGAAGCATGCTGGTGACCAATTTTTTTTGCTCTGTCAGTACTTCAGCAGTGTGCACACTATTTCATTTTAAATACTGCCTAAGAAATGCAGTTAAGCAGGCAAAAGGAATTTTAAATCCTGCCTAAAAATGCAGTTAAGCATGTTACTCTGAAAGATCTTACTGAATAAAAGAAGTTATTTGCATAAAAAGTATTCTTACAGTTAATAAAGATGAAAATCACACTGAGAGTGAATCCTTGCAATTTTACACTAAATATTCAATGTTTCTGGTTGTGTTCTGAAAAACATGGAGCACGCCCTTGAAACCTCCAATGGAGCCCCCAATGAAACCTCCCATCTTTGTGTCCTTTGTTAACTCCCAGCATATGGTGTTTTAAAAGAGATAGCTAAGTACCATGGGCTAAGCAGTGGAGTTTTCTTTCAATGAGAAATCCAAATCTTTAGCACAGCTATGAGGGAAACAGATCTACACTGTTTAAGATCCAACTAGAATATCTTCTTAAAGAGTTTTAACTATAAAATGCTTTAAGAAAAAAAAAAAAAGGCAGATGGAAGATGTTAACTTGGTTTCTAATTGAAACAATGGTGTGTTTTATTTCATGTTGGGATTTCAACATACTCTTAATTAGACTTTTTACCATGCAGTTTTCATTTAAAAATATCTTGATGACATTCTGGTCATCAAGAAAATCCTGGGAGACTTAACACCTGTTATTCCTTGGACAAAATTCATCCAAAATGGCAGGCAGGCAAATAATACTCCCCAACTCATATAATAAATATTGTCAAAATATCCAGAGTATTTAAAAGAATAATGAAAGGGAAAAAAAAGTCTGGAAAATAGTTTGTGCAGTCCAGACTTAGTGATGATAAGCAGATAGCAATGCTCAAAACAAAAGGCAAAAACACATGGGTTGCTCACTATGTTGTGGAATAGTAATAGAATATTTGCAATGTGAATGTATATCTGGTAAAGTCACTACTATGTCATTTCCTAAGGACATGAAAAATTATGCTTACCTATTTTATGAAAAGCAGCTTAGTTATTGAAAACAGCATTTGCAACACAATTTTCTATATAGTAAGAAATCAGTATACACGACCAGATGTTATCATGTAGATTGAAACTACAGTCAGAATATATCACTGCATATTTTGAAACACTGAATAAGGAATTCTCATATACAGGATTGCTATGATTCAATTTGATGTAACTTCTGAAAGTGGCATAAAATTAATAAATAGGCAGTATTAAAACCTGGAGTGAATTAAAGAAAGAATTCCAGGTTGTACTGAAGATATCACCTTTAGCTTGAACTTCAGATACCAGAACAGAATAGAACAGAACAGAATGTAACAGAGCAGTTGGACAGGACCTACAATGATCATCTAGTCCAACTGCCTGATGGCTTCAGGGCTGACCAAAAGTTAAAGCATATTACTAAGGGCATTGTCCAAATGCTTCTTAAACACTGACTGGCATGGGACATCGACCATCCCTCTAGGAAGCCTGTTTCAGTGTTTGACCACCTTCTTGGTAAAGAAATGATTCCTAATATCAAGTCTGAACCTCCTCTGATGCAGCTTTGAACCATTCCCACGCATCCTATCACTGGATCCCAGGGAGAAGAGATCGGCCTCTTCTTCACTTCCTATTCTCATACTGATCAAAATAAACTGAGTTTAACTCCTGGGATTCATTGACATGGACAACATTAATTTTCAGTGCTGATTTTTAAATAAAAATAAAAAAGGACAAATGTTTAAAATAATAACATCATCAACAGAGCTTGAGATGCATGGCTAAATTAGAAAGAGAAATGGAAAACTATTTTGCCATCTGCCGTAACTTATTTTCCTTGCTTTTGGGAGAAAAGAAAGCCCCCAAATTTTCTCTCTCTTAATAAGAGACAAATATTGTTTCCTGTGTTATGTATACATAGAAATAAAACCAACAGTTGCAATCTGGTCTGAGTTAGCTCCATCTTTTATGTGAAGAAGGTCCATGAAGGCAGATTTTGGAATTCTTTTATGGATCTAAGTGAAGGGAGCTTAAACTGTTATTGCCTCAGCAGTTTTCTGTCACAGTTTAGCTGAAGTTTACTGTCCCAAAAGTCTCATATGATCACTCCTAAGCTGTTTCAGTACAAAGTCAGTGGAGTCAGCTTAAAGCATCTTAAACCAAATTTGGATGACTTTATACTTATGTGAAAGACTTACATAGACACTTTTAGCTTCACAGCTGTGTCAACAGAAACTTCAAGAAATAACTTCTCGACTTCTATAACTAGATGTGAAAGAAATGACCTGTGTATGCCTTCAGTCCCTCTTGGAATGAGGAAAATTAAAAAGGTTAGGCAGATTGTGGCAACATGGCTAGAAGCTCAGTCTCAGGCCAAATCAATATCTGTTAATGGGAATTCAAATTAGATTCATTAGAAAGGAAAAACAAAAACAAACAAACAAACAAACAAATAAAAATGAAGAGAGCTTAGATGTCTCTGTTCTTGTTTTTGAAACCCTGAAAAGAAAGCAAGCCAATACCAAACCCCCAAACCTATAAGATTTCTGCATTATTTTTCTCACCACACATAAAATCAGATGCCTTTTGAACCAAATCTCTGGCAAAGTTCACAGAGTTCATGTTCTTTATGGTATAGAATACTGTAGACATACTGTGGCAAAAATCATCACAGAAAATACAACCTGCCTCACAAGCAGATTCAGCTCTGAGAGAAAGCTTGTTGGCCCTGTTGTATGCTATTGTATCTGCCGTGTTTTACTCTTACCTAGAGCTGCCCTCTGAATGTGCCGCTGGGTTATCTTGCCTTTCAGATGGTCTGTAAAAGACACAAAATGTGAATAGTTAGAATTCAAAATATCAAAATTGAATTAATTCATTGCTTATTTCCCACCATTTGAAAACCCCTGTGCTGCTGGGTGATTTAAGGGGATTTTTGGTGATCCACAGGACAAGTAGTTTTCTGAGCTCTCTCCTTCTTGCTACTGTAAGTAAACAAGTAGGCACAATTTGGCTCTACATATCCTAAGATTTAGCTTTGTCCAGTAAAAAAGATTGAAAAATGAAGCTATTTACTGTCAAGCACTTTCACAGGATAATGATCTCCTGCTGCTAGATACAAAAGAAGTCCAAGTGAGGCTAGAAGACATACAGAATTCCAAGTATTTGTTCAAACAGACTTAGAGGCGCTAGCAGTGGAAATGAGATATTAGGTCATCCAGTCCACCTATTTGGCAGTGAAGAATTGGTTCCCTACAGTCCATTTTTTCCTGTTTGTCCAGCTCAGTTTTAAATATCCCATGTGCTAGAGCTTCTGCAAGTTCTACTACTCAACAGAACTCACTGTGCAGATGTCATTGGTCTTCAATCAAAATTTTTCTTTAATTTCAATTATCTCATTATTCCTAGTTAGGATCCCATGCCCCATATAATTCACCTTTACCCTTCTTTTATTAATTTCCTCCTTGATCTGTGACACTGTTCCAGTTCACCAATTATTTCAAAGCATAATTAGATTACCACGTGGGAAACCATTATTATAGATATTATTGGAACCAAAAAAGGAAAAACATAACCCTAAATGTGCAATTTCATCAGTATATGTGTTTTGAGGGAGGATGGGATGATGTCTTTCAAGTTTTCAAATTAAAACTTTCTAAGCAGAGACTTGTTCATAATCTTTACTAAACTGTACATCTGGATACCAGGGAAAGAAAAAAAATCCATGCTGAATTCACTTCTTTTTTTTTCCCAGAGCTGTGATTATGTATATTATATTAGCATGCGTTCTGAATTAAAAATATCCTTTTGCTTACAAGTGTTGACTTCTAGAGTAAGCTAATCAGAGCAAATCAAGTCATTAAAAGCCGCCAAATGCTTAACTGGAGATTGTGAAAAAAACATTTAAACTCACAGGTCATGACCATTTAGTGTTCTATGAGCACTAAAGAACCAAGAGAAATTAAACGTCTTTGGGAATTATAAGAATAATTCTTAAGTATTTAGCAACATTGTAAAAAAGGTATTGTATGCAATACGTTGTAGTATAGCAGCCAAGTTATGATATTTTGTATGTTTTTAGAAAACAAATCAAAACAACCTACATACTCCTTGCTGATAAAACGGATAATGCATATTCCTAGTTTTCTGCACAAGATGTTTTATTCTTTTCATTTATTTCTATTTAAACCAATGAATTCTTCTGTACTTATGTTATCCATGAAATTAAGAACAGCCTTCAACTTCTGAGAGAGAGGTTAAGTGAAAGAACTAACTTCACCTACCACAGATATACGAAATAAATCCTCTGTCTGAGCTGTACTAACACTCAACCAAAAACCCCATTCAGTTAAGTAAGCTTCTAATTTCTGTAACTATATACAAAACGCCCTTGATTAATAAATTTTACCAATAAAAGCACAGTTAAATGAGGAATGTTCGTGCTATTTGTGCTTTGAAAGCTTTATAAAGAAACTCAATTTAGGTCAATACTCAGTGAAATGTGATTAAATGTACCAGCTTTTTCCTCTAACTGTTTTTTGCTATTCTGGATATTAGATCCTTGTATTCTATTGTACTGTATCACACCAGGTGATGTTACTCACTCAATACTGAGCCATGAGACGGTTATGAAACAATTTGTAGCAATCTTGAGATTCATCTCAATGGATTACCATTAATTTAGGTGACTCAGAAAGCCATCTATACATTAATCTTCTTGTAAGGGCTCAGAAACTCCCTTTCTTGAGTACTATGAGCTGCAAAAGGCAATGATGCTGTCATTTGAAAAAATGGTTCTGGTGGTAAGAATATGTTGCTCATCAAGAGCCAACTGAAAATAAAGGTGACATACGAGTTCTCAATCCTGCCAATACATGGTGTTAGTAGTGTTGTTTCTCTTTCTTTAATCTTGCTAGAAACAGATCATCAGCAGCCTAAATGTTTTGCATTTCAAGTGACAATGAGGTCAACTGAAAAAAAGCAAGCCAAACAAGTCAATGAAAATAAGATTGAACTGATAGATAACAGCTTGCAATCAATACAAAAATGTAGAAACACATGGGGACTGTTTTTTAAATTATCATAGCCAAGAGGCTCGACTTTCAGTTATCTGGAATTTACTCTCAGAAAAGCTGGGATAGAGAGCACAGAGGCTGCATAAGCCCTCCTTCTATTGTAAGCTTTTTTGGGCCAGCCAGCAGCGTGGAACTGTCCCAAATGCTCCTCCTTCACTTCATTCTAGCCTTCATACGCTTCTGCTCCATCCATGACATGGGCCATGATGCTGTAAGAAATCTTGTCCTTCTTCTATTTGGCAGCTTTATGAAAGAATGAGAAGTTGGAACCATCTGTAATCAGAGAGAAACCAAAGAAACTTCTTCGTCTAGAAATATAAAAATCCAGATTTCTTTTTTTTATGAATAGAAGTAGAAAGGTGACATTTACCCAATCCACATAGTCCAAGCTGCCTTTTCAGGGCAGCAAAAACTGAACTCAATTTATCAGAAAACTTCCTGAGGAGAACGAGTAATTGTATTACGGGAAAAGCAGCCCAAACAGGAATTCTGGTTCAGAGGACATGATGGTATCATGAGGCACCTGACTATAATTCCTTGCAAAGACTTAGCTAGATATGATTTAATATTTCAATTTGGTTTAATCCAATTTGAAATTTGACAGTTTATTTAGATTTCCCTTGGAAAAAAAATGGTTTTCATGTAGAAACTCTTATTTTTGACAAAACCTTAACATTTTCTGTGCATGTTTTTGATTAAAGAATCTTGTTCTGTTTTCCCTACAAATACTTGTGGGGGAGAATGAATGTTTCTGACCTGCTCTATTTTTCTGCCTCTGTGAACACCATCACCCCAATGCAAGGCTTGAAGTTCACAAGTGACACAAGTAGGAGGTGATTCCAGTACTGTTGTCTTCAGAGACCTTACCAGATAAACAAAGGGAAGATTTCAGTCTTTAGTACTGCCAGTTCTACAACCTTCATAAACACAAATATTTACCCATAGAAATATGAAGAGTCAGATTCTCATAAAAACCCCTCATGTCTTCTGATCCCAACAGTGTAAAGTTGCGGACAAGGTAGTGCTTAAATGTGGTTTGCAAAAATTGAATTTAAGACTTGGAGAACATCTCTCAACATATGGATAATTATGTTTTCTGAAGTTTCACCAAACAAAAAGATAAAAATAGGTCTGCAGCTGATACCAAATAATTTTTTCCAGTGGAGTCATTCTTAATTTAGAGATAACAGTCCCAATAAAATGTTGAATGCTGTAACTCCACATGTTTTGGCAAAAAAAGTAGTTTTGGGGAATTTAAGAATTCACTCAGCATGCAGCCAGCTGTCATTAAGGCTGTGATAAATCTGTTGGTTTTGGCCTGTGTTTCTGGACACATGTACCATCCTGAGGTATGGAAAAGAGATGAACTGGTAACACAGAACTTCAGCTTTGTGACAGGAGACAAAAGCAAGTAGAGAAATGGAGAAGACAAAATGGAATAGAGAAGTCTAATTAAGACTGATGTAAAGCAGAGGAAAATATCCTATATGCTGACTAAGTATGACAGAATCCATAACTTGAATAGTATGGCTATCTAATTTCTTGTCTTTGTGTTCTTCCAGAGTGTTCCAAGGAGCTGAAATTATCTTCCAATTTATTACAGACAATGAGTACAGACAGTTTATTACAGACAATACTGCATATGCTTCAGGGCAATACAAAATTGAGTATGTTACAATTTAAAAAAGTGTTTTGGTTTTGTTTGAGTCTATATTACAGGTTAAAGCTCCTCTTATATTTTATCAGACCTTCCATACTTACTATTGTAAGCTTTCAAAAGCTGCTGTCTTAAAGGATGAAAGCACTGGACAAGCTAAGAGTACACATACAACCTTAACTCCCCCCCTTTTAGATAATTTGTTGTTATTGATGTGGATAGACCTTTAACCTGAGGCAGGGTCTCTTCTGACTGAATAATTAGCAGGCAGGAACCTTCATCAATAACCTCTTATCCCTTGTTATTTTTTAATACTTTTCTATTATTTTGTATTTTCCAAGCCTGTGTTTAGCTTCAGAAGTCCTTCCATCCAGGAGATCCTGAAACGTTCACACCTCAGCTAGGATGCTGTATCTCTTTCTTTCTTTCTTCATCTTCAAATCATTTTTGGTGTTACATAAACTATCTAGCAGAACATCCTTTTCTGCATACAGGGAAGCTCTGATTCCTGGAACTCACCCTTCGGGACATTTTGGGTCCCTAATAATTCTATATGATCTAAGTGTTAGATCTACCTTTTTTTTTCCCCCTGCTTCTCACACTGCTCCACCAGTGAGGAGGCTGGGGGTGCACAAGAAGTTGTGAAGGGACACAGCTGGGCCAGCTGACCCCAAGTGTCAAAAGGAATACTCCATACTATATAATGTCATGCTTAGCAAAAAAAGCTGGGGGAACAAGAAGTAAGGGGGCACATTCAGAGTGATGGTATTTGTCTTCCCAAGTCACTGCTAGGAGTGATGGAGCCCTGCTTTCCTGGGGATGGCTGAACATCTGGCTGTTGAAGGGAAGGAGTGAAGGAATTCCTTATTTTCCTTTGCTTGAGCATGCAGCTTTTGCTTTACCTATTAAAGTGTCTTTATCTCAACCCATGAGTTTCCTCACTTTTACCCTTCTGATTCTCGCCCCCAACCCACCAGGGGGGAGTGAGCGCGTGGCCGTGTGGGGCTGAGCTACCAGCCAGGGTTAAACCAGGGCAGGAAATAAGCGGGATTGTTGCTTGTAATGCAATGTCCCTACATATGCAGT